TAGAATCTTCAAAATCATTAAGTGGGGGTTTTTATTTATACATATTCCTTTTAGGGTAGCAAAGCACACTGGGTATAGCTAGTAATGAAAATAAAACCAAGATTGTTGATTATTTTATTTAGAAATGTACTATTTAGATGATTAATATTACATTTCCTTTGCATTTTCTATTAAACGGTTGAGTAACTTATTTCCTAAAACTAATATTTCTAATATTTGATTGTCAGTATATTATTTATTAAAACTTACTGTATTGAAAATTTCTACAATAACTACTTGTAAATTAAAAATTAATTTCTAATTGATTTTCAGACTCTCATATTGAAAACATACAAAACTAGAATTTACAACATAATGGATCATTTTAACATTTATCAAAAATGTAATAAAAAGTTGAAATGGAAAAAATACAGACACAATATCCTTTAAATAGAGTAAAATAACATTTTCAATAATAATTACTTTTCTTTCATTCTGCATATATATTTGCAGTCATGCATGCATGCATGCGTAATAAATGCATAATGCATTTTGCAGATACATGTGTATCTATGTAGTTGTATCTGTTGTTGTGTTTAAGGCTTTTTGTTGTTGTGCTGTTTTTTTCTCTATAACAACAAATACTCATTTATCTTTATATATTTTCTTTCAATTCAAAATTACGTTTGTTGTGAGTTGATTTTTTTTTGTGAATTTTGCATTAAAGAACAACATCATTTGCACCATCATCAATTTTTATATTACGAAGAGATGTGTGTTTTTTACTCTCAGATAGACTATGTAAATAATAGTACAGCTTTGAATATAAATATGGCATCTTTATAATATGTATGTAAAATTCACTTCTGGGGTACTTGAGTCAAATGCATTAAAGCTTTAAATTGACGATATTGGAATAACTTTTCGTCTTTGGGTTGAAATAAATTTAGTTAGTAAACTAAATTTAAATTGATACAAATCGACTGCTATTTGTAGCTAGCATCTCTGTATTTTTTATCTTGATATGTATTTGCAATACATACATATCTACATAAGACTACATACATTCATACATGTATGCAGATTATCATTTCAATCTAGTTAATACTTTATTGCAGTTATAGAATCAACTTTTATCAGTTTCTCATTCCAATTTTTATTCGGAATAGTTGTTTTCGGTTTTTTCTCTATCATCTATTCATTTATTTCTGCTGTAAATAACCAATGCCAATGGCTTTTGTAATGGATTTGTAGCTTTGATAGTCGTTTGAAGTTGAGGTATGATATTGTAACATTGAATACAATTCACACAAACAAAAATCTACTTCGATTTGTGTCAGTATTATTGGCACTAAATCGATAGACTAGACTATAGACTAGACTATGGACTAGACTATGGACTAGACTATAGACTAGACTATAGACAAGACTATAGACTAGACTATAGACTATAGACTAGACTAGACTATAGACTAGACTATAGATTAGACTATAGACTAGACTATAGACTAGACTATAGACTAGACTATAGACTAGACTATAGACTAGACTATAGACTAGACTATAGACTAGACTATAGACTAGACTATAGACTAGACTATAGACTAGACTATAGACTAGACTATAGACTAGACTATAGACTAGACTATAGACTAGACTATAGACTAGACTACAGATTGGACTACAGACTAGACTATAGACTAGACTATAGACTAGACTATAGACTAGACTATAGACTAGACTATAGACTAGACTATAGACTAGACTATAGACTAGACTATAGACTAGACTATAGACTAGACTATAGACTAGACTATAGACTAGACTATAGACTAGACTATAGACTAGACTATAGACTAGACTATAGACTAGACTATAGACTAGACTATATACTAGACTATAGACTAGACTATAGACTAGACTATAGACTAGACTATAGACTAGACTATAGACTAGACTAGACTAGACTATAGACTAGACTATAGACTAGACTATAGACTAGACTATAGACTAGACTATAGACTAGACTATAGACTAGACTATAGACTAGACTATAGACTAGACTATAGACTAGACTATAGACTAGACTATAGACGACTATAGACTAGACTATAGACTAGACTATAGACTAGACTATAGACTAGACTATAGACTAGACTATAGACTAGACTATAGACTAGACTATAGACTAGACTATAGACTAGACTATAGACTAGATATAGACTAGACTATAGACTAGACTATAGACTAGACTATAGACTAGACTATAGACTAGACTATAGACTAGACTATAGACTAGACTATAGACTAGACTATAGACTAGACTATAGACTAGACTATAGACTAGACTATAGACTAGACTATAGACTAGACTATAGACTAGACTATAGACTAGACTATAGACTAGACTATAGACTAGACTATAGACTAGACTATAGACTAGACTATAGACTAGACTATAGACTAGACTATAGACTGACTATAGACTAGACTATAGACTAGACTATAGACTAGACTATAGACTAGACTATAGACTAGACTATAGACTAGACTATAGACTAGACTATAGACTAGACTATAGACTAGACTATAGACTAGACTATAGACTAGACTATAGACTAGACTATAGACTAGACTATAGACTAGACTATAGACTAGACTATAGACTAGACTATAGACTAGACTATAGACTAGACTATAGACTAGACTATAGACTAGACTATAGACTAGACTATAGACTAGACTGTAGACTAGACTATAGACTAGACTATAGACTAGACTATAGACTAGACTATAGACTAGACTATAGACTAGACTATAGACTAGACTATAGACTAGACTATAGACTAGACTATAGACTAGACTATAGACTAGACTATAGACTAGACTATAGACTAGACTATAGACTAGACTATAGACTAGACTATAGACTAGACTATAGACGGACTATAGACTAGACTATAGACTAGACTATAGACTAGACTATAGACTAGACTATAGACTAGACTATAGACTAGACTATAGACTAGACTATAGACTAGACTATAGACTAGACTATAGACTAGACTATAGACTAGACTATAGACTAGACTATAGACTAGACTATAGACTAGACTATAGACTAGACTATAGACTAGACTATAGACTAGACTATAGACTAGACTATAGACTAGATATAGACTAGACTAGACTAGACTATAGACTAGATATAGACTAGACTATAACTAGACTATAGACTAGACTATAGACTAGACTATAGACTAGATATAGACTAGACTATAGACTAGACTATAGACTAGACTATAGACTAGACTATAGACTAGACTATAGACTAGACTATAGACTAGACTATAGACTAGACTAAGACTAGACTATAGACTAGACTATAGACTAGACTATAGACTAGACTATAGACTAGACTATAGACTAGACTATAGACTAGACTATAGACTAGACTATAGACTAGACTATAGACTAGACTATAGACTAGACTATAGACTAGACTATAGACTAGACTATAGACTAGACTATAGACTAGACTATAGACTAGACTATAGACTAGACTATAGACTAGACTATAGACTAGACTATAGACTAGACTTTAGACTAGACTATAGGCTAGACTATAGTCTAGTCTATAGGCTAGACTAGACTATAGACTAGACGATAGACTAGACTATAGACTAGACGATAGACTAGACTATAGACTAGACTATAGACTAGACTATAGACTAGACTATAGACTAGACTATAGACTAGATAGACTAGACTATAGACTAGACTAAGACTAGACTATAGACTAGACTATAGACTAGACTATAGACTAGACTATAGACTAGACTATAGACTAGACTATAGACTAGACTATAGACTAGACTATAGACTAGACTATAGACTAGACTATAGACTAGACTATAGACTAGACTATAGACTAGACTATAGACTAGAATATAGGCTAGACTATAGGCTAGACTATAGACTAGACTATAGACTAGACTATAGACTAGACTATAGACTAGACTATAGACTAGACTATAGACTAGACTATAAACTAGACTATAGACTAGACTATAAACTAGACTATAGACTACACTATAGACTAGACTATAGACTAGATTATAGACTAGATTATAGAGTAGACTATAGACTAAACTATAGAGTAGACTATAGACTAAACTATAGAGTAGACTATAGACTAAACTATAGACTAGAAATTTTCGTAAATATTACGAAAAAGTTAGTTACGAATTTTTTTCCGCAAGTTCAAGTATGGATTATTTGCATTGTGAGATATGTGACATTTGCAAGATTTTTATTCTGTCAACATGTTATTATCAATATATTGGTAAAGCCATTTTTTAAAGAAATTTTCCCTTGAAAAATAAAATTTCTCAAAATAAATTTAATTTGCATTTCTGTTAATAATAATACTAGCAGTCATAACACTAGTAGTAATAGTAACTGTGATCTGTAATCAAAGGATAGGCAATCATCCAATGTGATTGCGAATTCTAACACATATACATATAGAATATATACACATACTTTTGTACATACTCTTTTACAAATGTGTAAATAAAGTTTTTGTGTAACACTCTATGCATCTATTGATTTACAAGTTCTATTGATGGCTGTTTGCCTTTTTGTTGTTTTGCCTATAGTTTACCATTTTTTTTTTTTTCACTAGCATAGTAATTTTCATTTTGCTTCTGCATCTTTTAAACGTCACTATTTGTTTTTCTCTACTTTAAAATGATATAAGTAAGGAAACAGGTCTGGTTTAGGGCTAAATTGAAAACTAGTAAAGGCTTTTATCTTATGATCTAGCGCAATGAGTATGTATAAAGTATTTTTACTACATTCACTGTAGTATGTTTGCAAGAGTAACTTACAACTTTTTATGTCGGTTGTTAGCATTAATGTATTTTTGTAATTGTAAGAAATGTTTGTAAAACAAAAAGACTTAATACATATTGCAAAATGTAAAATAAAGACTTATGAGAAAAACAGAGAAAACTTACCATTTCGATTTTCACTGTCAGCCGGTTTCATTTGTATAGGATGATGCATCTGTTGGAAAGAAAAGAGAGGGAAAATGTAAGAAAATATATAACTAGATATGTAAGTTATTAAATAATAAAAAAATAAATAAATAAAAAAAATTATAAAAAATTTTAAAACTTTCAATAAGAACCCTATTCTCTAGTGACTCAAATATAGTCGACTTAGCTCTAGTCGACTCAGATCGGGTCTAGCCAACTGGACTCTAGTCTAATCGACTTGACTCTAGTATTGGTGAATCAAGTTTAGTCTATCGACTCAACTTTTGTCTAGTTAGTAAAATCAACTCTAATAAGTCTAACCGACTAATCTGTGGACGAGTCGACTGAGTTGTAGTTGATTCAATTCAAATCTAGTTGACTGAACTATAGTCAAATCGAACAAAATCTACTTAACTCCTTTTTTTCTAAACTTTCCAATCCTTGTATAGCAAAATCCAGAATTAATATTTAGAATTCAGTTTCTTCTATTCCAAATTTATACTTAACAAGTGTTAAATTCCATATATTAATATTTTTTTTTTCAAAAATTTCTTATCTTCTATAACCAATTGTATTATTAATGTTCAACTATTTTTTTTCTGTTCAAATGGATTTTATAACAAAATTTCTCTAATGCAAAATTTTGTATGAAAAAGAAAAAAAAAATAAACATAAAAATATTGAAATATTCTTGTATTCGTATACGACTACATATTGAGGTTATGGTTATGGCTTTGAATGGATTAATGCTTTTGATATACACTAAGTACTTGTGTGGGTATAAATGGAAAACTGAATATGGTTATGGAGTTAGTTAGTGGTTGGTTATTTAATGGATTTTTATATAACAATATTTGCACATTCAAAAAAATCAATAAGAAATGGATAGTTAGTAAGAAGAATGTAATCAAAATTGGTATGAGGGTGAATGTTTAAATGGAATTTGCCAGAAATGTTCTACTGCAAGAATTGAAATTTTATTAAAAATTTGTTAAATGGAATTGGTATTAACTCATTTTGTATGTTAGAAGAAAAGCACTTATTTAGAATTATAATTAGAAAGATGGTAGAAAACAATTTTGTTTCTGTTGAAATTGGTATATTTATATGTAAAATAAATAATTTAAATAAAGTTCATTTATTTAAATTATCTACTTAAAACATTAACTAGATTGTAGCTTGAATGTTTGTTTTATAATAATTAGTGGCATTACTAATAAAAAAAAAAATACTCATTCTCTATACTTAAACAAATTAATATACACGCACTTCCTAACTTGAGCACACACACACATACACAAAATTATCATTAAACAAGGTAAAGTTATAGTTGGTTAAAAAGAATAGAAGACCACAGTTCTAGATCAGTTCTAGTTCAGTTCTAATTCAGTTCTAGTTCAGTTCTAGTTCAGTTCTAGTTCAGTTCTAGTTCAGTTCTAGTTCAGTTCTAGTTCAGTTCTAGTTCAGTTCTAGTTCAGTTCTAGTTCAGTTCTAGTTCAGTTCTAGTTCAGTTCTAGTTCAGTTCTAGGTTCAGTTCTAGTTCAGTTTCTAGTTCAGTTCTAGTTCAGTTCTAGTTCATTTCTAGTTCAGTTCTAGTTCAGTTCTAGTTCAGTTCTAGTTCAGTTCTAGTTCAGTTCTAGTTCAGTTCTAGTTCAGTTCTAGTTTCAGTTCTAGTTCAGTTCTAGTTCAGTTCTAGTTCAGTTAGTTCAGTTCTAGTTAAGTTCTAGTTCAGTTCTAGTTCAGTTCTAGTTCAGTTCTAGTTCAGTTCTAGTTCAGTTCTAGTTCAGTTCTAGTTCAGTTCTAGTTCAGTTCTAGTTCAGTTCTAGTTCAGTTCAGTTCTAGTTCAGTTCTAGTTCAGTTATAGTTCAGTTCTAGTTCAGTTCTAGTTCAGTTCTAGTTCAGTTCTAGTTCAGTTCTAGTTCAGTTCTAGTTCAGTTCTAGTTCAGTTCTAGTTCAGTTCTAGTTCAGTTCTAGTTCAGTTCTAGTTCAGTTCTAGTTCAGTTCTAGTTCAGTTCTAGTTCAGTTTAGTTCAGTTCTAGTTCAGTTCTAGTTCAGTTCTAGTTCAGTTCAGGTTCAGTTCTAGTTCAGTTCTAGTTCAGTTATAGTTTAGTTCCAGTTCAGTTCTAGTTCAGTTCTAGTTCAGTTCTAGTTCAATTCTAGTTTCAGTTCTAGTTCACTTCTAGTTCAGTTCTAGTTCAGTTCTAGTTCAGTTCTAGTTCAGTTCAGTTATGTTTAGTTTAAAAATTGTTCTAAGAACAATATTTTGGCTCTCCCCAAAAATATAATGGTGTAGGGTATATACATATATGTGTATATTTTGTTCTAACACAAAAGTGACTACTTTCATTATTTAGAAATTAAATGAAACGTGTAAATGTAAACAAAACATTATACGGTCAACGGAAATGAAAACAAAACTTTACGCATACATTATATAAATGTATACTGTAAACACATACATGAGTACCTACATACATATGTACAATGTGCATATGTATGTACATTATACATACATGCATATTTGTAAAATACACTCAATATTGTAGTTGTGTTACGTTGTATGTAAATATTTGTATAAACATGTATTTATTTATTAATGTATGTCAATCTTAAAAATCGATTTTAGTTTAGTCCTTATACATTGTGTCCTGCTGTTGGTCTGTCTGCCCTTTTGTCTGTTTGCAAAACCTGCCATGTCTTTAATGGAATTTACTTAAATCTAATAAGAGAAATTCTATAGTCATTAATGGAGAATTGTTTTGTTTCTGTTGTTATTGTTATTATTGTTGTTTTATTTTAGGTTATTAGCCACCTTTTATACTGCCTTAAGTTTCTACATATTTATTTGGGATTATCTGTTCTGGAACATAGATCTTGATGAAAGATGCCCATGTACAGATATTCGATTTGAATATAGTCCCAGTTTAATTGTTTATATTCCAACTTGTGGATCCATCTTGTTTTACTTGTGAAAGTCTGACAGATGGACATTTTTTAGTATTTTTATCAATTTGTCTTATAAGTATATCTAATTTTCTTCAATAAAAATACTAAATTAACTTATTAGGATTTTTTGAAAAATGTCTTTCTCATAGCGTAGATCAGATATAATTTAAACAGTGTTAACTTTGGGGGACATTGACCACTGCATTGATCTATTAAAATTTATTGGTACTGATATATGGTACAATTCTTAAAATTTTCAAAATACACTTCAGAGAGTACTTTTTCATTTTCCGTATCTGATTTCAATTATGTCCTTATTGTTTGTGTAATAAAAATTGTTTGTCATTCGATCAATATTATATATGTATACATATGTATGTATATAAAGCTAATATGAGGACAAGTAGTATTTTGGTGAAAAGGACCTGATGATGTTTTTTTTTGGATTTTTCCTATGGCTGGTAGTTGTTGTTACTATTTCTGTTTGTTTATTTTGTTATTTTAAGGCTTTTATTTTATGTTTTGTCTGTCTGTCTAAACATAATTGGTATAATTGTCAAAATAATGACCACATGTGTCAGTGTATTAGTACGACGTAGATAAAGTATTGAGTAGAACATTTTGTTGTCTCGGCATAAGTAATTAAACAAACATATGGTAACATTTTACTAAAGCTTTTAATGCATTTTAGTTTATAAACACATATTCGATTATATGATTTCGTTGTTTATAAAATTTGGGAGGGAAGGAACTAAGTTAATTATAATTTTTGTAAAAGGGGGCCTTCAGTTGAAAATGGAAATGCTTAAGAAGTGTTGTTAGTTAGTTAGTTAGTTAGTTAGTTAGTTAGTTAGTTAGTTAGTTAGTAGTTAGTTAGTTAGTTAGTTCGTTCGTTAGTTAGTTAGTTCGTTAGTTCGTTCGTTCGTTAGTTCGTTCGTTAGTTCGTTCGTTCGTTAGTTAGTTAGTTAGTTTCGTTCGTTCGTTCGTAGGTCGTTAGTTCGTTCGTTCGTTCTTCGTTCGTTCGTTCGTGTCGTTCGTTCGTTCGTTCGTTCGTTCGTTCGTTCGTTCGTTCGTTCGTTCGTTCGTTCGTTCGTTCGTTCGTTCGTTCGTTCGTTCGTTAGTTCGTTCGTTCGTTCGTTCGTTCGTTCGTTCGTTCGTTCGTTCGTTCTTCGTTCGTTAGTTCGTTAGTTCGTTCGTTCGTTCGTTCGTTCGTTAGTTCGTTTCGTTCGTTAGTTCGTTCGTTCGTTCGTTCGTTCGTTCGTTCGTTCGTTCGTTCGTTCAGTTCGTTCGTTCGTTCGTTCGTTCGTTCGTTCGTTCGTTCGTTCGTTCGTTCGTTCGTTCGTTCGTTCGTTCGTTCGTTCGTTCGTTCGTTCGTTCGTTCGTTCGTTCGTTCGTTCGTTCGTTCGTTCGTTCGTTCGTTCGTTGTTCGTTCGTTCGTTAGTTCGTTCGTTCGTTCGTTCGTTCGTTCGTTCGTTCGTTCGTTCGTTCGTTTCGTTCGTTCGTTCGTTCGTTCGTTCGTTCGTTCGTTCGTTCGTTCGTTCGTTCGTTCGTTCGTTCGTTCGTTCGTTCGTTCGTTCGTTCGTTCGTTCGTTCGGTCGTTCGTTCGTTCGTTCGTTCGTTCGTTCGTTCGTTCGTTCGTTCGTTCGTTCGTTCGTTCGTTCGTCGTTCGTTCGTTCGTTCGTTTCGTTCGTTTCGTTCGTTCGTTCGTTTCGTTCGTTCGTTTCGTTCGTTCGTTCGTTTTCGTTCGTTCGTTTCGTTCGTTCGTTCGTTTCGTTCGTTCGTTCGTTCGTTCGTTCGTTTCGTTTTCGTTCGTTCGTTCGTTCGTTCGTTCGTTCGTTCGTTCGTTCGTTTCGTTCGTTCGTTCGTTCGTTCGTTCGTTCGTTCGTTCGTTCGTTTCGTCGTTCGTTCGTTCGTTCGTTCGTTTTCGTTCGTTCGTTCGTTCGTTCGTTCGTTCGTTCGTTCGTTCGTTCGTTCGTTTTCCTTCGTTCTCTCTCCTTCTTTTTCCTCTTCTTTCCCCTTCCCTTTGTTTCTCCCCCCCCTCCCCGGCCCCTTTTTGCCTTTCCCTTCCTTCCGTTCCCCTTT